CCTGACAGGCAGCCATGGTTACAAGGTCAGTTTTAGGAATGGGGCTTCTCTTCCACAAGAGTTGGTCCCTTGCCCTCCAAAGCTGAAGTGATCAAGACATTTGTGTGCTTAGAGGATTAAAAACTCAATTTTATGTGCAGTGTTTGACAGTCTGGGTGTGAATTCCTGCCCATGGTGCATCCTGGAAATGCAGGGAAAGCACATTGTCAGCTGCCAGAGCCCTTTTTTTGGGATTTTGAAGTGCCTCAGTGGAAGAGGCAGCATGATGGGAGAACAGCATGATCCATATTTGAGAGAAGAGGAGAATTAAGATACAGGAGAATTAACTTGGCCGAGGTCACTCAGTAAATCTGTAGCTGAGCTGGGAATCAACCTCCATCTCCTGGCATCCAGTGCAGGGCTTTAAGCATTAAGATTATTTGGAATAGTAAAGATCCTTAAACAAAGGGGAGGGAAAAATAAAAGGGAGAAAGCTGCATTGCACATAATTTGAAACATTTTTTCTTTGCAATATGGGAAATGTTTGAACTGTAATTGAGAACTGACATGTAAAGTTGATCTCTTTGGAGGCTGAGGGAAAAATAAAAGTAATTAGAGTTCAGCAGTAAATTTTCCAAGAATTAGGAAACCTTTTAGGATTCTGGAAAAGTCAACTCTATTTTTAGATTACTTTATCAGTAAGTAGAGGTTTATATTTTTTCCTTCCACATTAATACAGAGGGTAGGGATTACAACTGATTAAAGTCCTTTGGGGAGTTTTATCCTTCAGTGAATCTGTGCTTTGTGTAGTCCTGCTCTGGAGGACTCAAATGCCCAGGGCTGGGCTGGTACAGGCTCCAGGGGGACAAGGACAGCTGTATTTTCTTCTCTCAGGGGAATTTCTCCTTCCAGAAAATCCCCTCCATTGCCTCCCCTCCTCCTTCAGCCCTGGACAGGAACTGAAGAAAAATCTTGTATTATTCTGTCTTGTTTCTTACAACATTTACAGAGCAAACCTTCTATAATACAGGAACTAAAACATGGTCAAACACTGCTTTTGATGTATTTCCTAGATTTGAATCCTCCTGATGTATTCTAAGAGCTCTGGTCCGACTGATCTTACCCTKCTTTTAGCACGTTAATTGTAATTGGTAAAGCATTACAGAGTTAAGCGAGGCTTTAAAGTGTGACTTGAAAAGGAGGATGGGCTCAATTTGCTGTTCTGGAATATGGGAAGAGTTTATAAAGAGCAATAATTTAATATAGGTGATGTTTAGTGCAGTCTGGCCAAGATTTGGCTCTCCTCTCTTGGGGAAGGGCAGTCTCCTGCACAGCAGAGATGCTGCTGCTCTCTGCTCCTCTGGGCAGGACARGGCAGAGTTAAAGCTGTGCCTGAGCTGGGCTTACACTGACTGTGCTGCTTGTTAGGAGWTCTCTGACTCATCAGTCTCTGCGATTCTCCAGCCTTTCTTAAAATTGAAACCAGCCAATTTCTGACTAAGATGAGCCCGGGAGCCTCTCTGTCAAAAGCAAATCGATCCCTTACTTGTTTACTCTGTGCCCTTTATAAACACCGCCCTCCTTCCTTAAAGAAATGACTTTTTGGGTGGGTACAGTGGATACTCTTAGGAAGTAAGAGAGGGAGTTTTGCAGGGAGTCACTTTAACATATAATTAAGACTGAAAACTCGCAGCSATCATTTTTAGCATGAACGGGTGACCCCAGTGCTGCTGCAGCCTCTTCCCTACGCTGTGGAAAGCTTTACATCGCCCCGGGGTGAAGCTTTAGCTGGTTTGGAGCCAGGCTTTGGTGTGTCAGACTCCCACCGGGTTTGCCGGGTGTTTATTGCCGTGTTCCCACAGCCCCAGCCCGTTCCCGGAGCACCCCTAATCCCCATCCCGGTCCCTAATCCCCATCCCGGTCCCTAATCCCCATCCCGGTCCCCAATCCCGATCCCGGCCTTACCGCGGGGCACATCCACCTGGTGCCCCCGGCCCACGCTCTGCCAGTAATTCAGCAGCCTCTCCTGCTCCTCATCGTCCATGCGCTCGGCCGCCTCCTCCTCCAGGCTGCTGCCGTGGCTGTGGTACGCGGAGTCGGGGCTCTCCTCGGCCAGCCCGTCCAGCTCTTCCAGCGTGATCGCGGCCGGTCCGCCGGCTCCTCCCGCACCGCTCATGCGGCA